TTGCACACGCTGAGAGCTACACCAATTTGTGCAGAAAATTTCCTTGAATCTGTGAACAAAATACAAGGTTTCCTAAACTGTCTCAAAGATCAATTTTGGTAACATGTGTACAACTGGAGATAAATCAATTGTTCCAGATTAAATATCCTTGACCTACGAAAAATCAGTGAGATAAAACTAAAAGGAATCTCACAAAATCAATTTAAATAAGTAAAAAATATGTAACTTGTACTAATGTACTGATACATGATATTATAACATCTGTCAGAACATCTGCATTTAAATGATCTTGACCAGAATGTTTGAACATCTTCTATAACATCATGCTACAAACCATGTTTTAGCAAAAATTCTGTCAATCCTAAAACCATGGTGTTAACAACTATTACAAAATAAAGATCTGATTGAGGTGGATGCGAAGATCACGAGATCGATCGAAGATATTATAAAGATATTGAAATGTATTTAACCATCACTTAATAATGAAATGTATTGTTAGATTTACGTTAAAGATTATTTATGTAGTATTATGCTTTTAATGCATGGCATAATAATGATTGATTTTAATTTATGTTACTTTTTCTGCATATATTTCTGCATATGTTTATGTTTTTCTAAGAATAACAGTTTTCAAAACTAAAGTTTCGAATCTTCTTTGAGGTTTTGTTGCGTTAAGAAATGTATTTATGTATTTGAGGATCATTTTGGGTTTTTCACAAGGGTGTGAGAGCACCACTAAGAGTGGGAGAAATAATGCCCCTAATTTATTTCTAAAAACACACACTATGATCCATTAAAAATATTTTTTATAAATTTGTTAAGGGTGTTTCTCATTAAACCAACATATGCATGATCGTGAGTTGACTCGTGAACTCGTCTAATCCAATGTGCCATTGTCATATTCATGTGTTGCGTTTTAGGTAGAATCATAGGTAACAAAAACGGTAAACTCGTTTTAGAGCTGCAACAACACTCCTCTTTTAGGTATTTTTAAAAAACCCTAATTTTTAATTTTTAGAATACCATAATTAAAACTTTTTTAAATAATTATTTTAAAAATAATTTCAAAGAGGCACGAGGTATCTATTTCACGAATAATATCATTTTATTCTCCTCTTAAGCTTTCAAATCATTAATGCATCTTTGTTACTTTTTTTACGGGAAAAGATTAACTCATTTCATTAATAACAATATTCTTGATACATGTTGGAATATCAACGAAATTATAAAAACTAGGAAGAGATAGAGCCACCCGTGCCAGAGATGAGAAACCTCCTTAGCTTGTTTTGTAACAAATTTAACATGAGAGTTCCTAAAGAAAAGAGCCACCAATCGGTTGCATTCTCCAGCAATAGCTCTGAAATCTGAGTCATTAAGTTTTGGATTGGTTACACTATCCATAATTCGCTTTTCATCTAACTCAAAATCCATATTATCTCACCCCAGATCATGAACCCACTTTAAGGCTGTTAGAAGACCTAGAGCTTCTTCAATAACAACATCGGTGCAAGGCAAAAACTGTTTTGTCTGGGCTGCAATGAACTGACCTGCATCATCTCTAATACAAGCACCAATACCTACCATTTTATGAGTAAAAGACGTACCACTATTTCACTTAAGATGACCCTTCGAAGATTTGCTCCACCTAGTAATAGCTAACAAAGGGTTAATAATCCTATTATTGGGATGATATTGATGTGCTTCTCTCCATCCTATCATCAATTGTGATGCTCGCTGACAAATAAGAGTCGGAGATTCTTCCACCTAATTCCAAACATGATTATTTCTCTCTTTCCAGATACTCCATAAGATAACTTAGAAAATCGCTTGTTGGTCTTGATTGGAAACCTGCAAAAAAGAAAATAATTCTTCATTGCCACTAATGTGCTGCAACATAGTCCAAAGGTCCACTTTTTCCAACACTTAATACTTTTAGGACACTAGAGAAAAAGGTGATAGTTTTTCACTTCACCATCCCTACACCTGACATAGTTAGAAGGATAATTAATTCCTTTGTCCAATACTCTTCTTCTAGTAGGCACACAATCTCTACACAGATCCCACATAAAATTCTTAATTATGGGGAGTGGGCAGGGGGATGGGGGGGGGGGGGGGGTTGATGTTCCACAATAAATTCCAACTCTCACTAATTCTAAGGTGAGAGGTTCAATGGCATTGTTGATATAAAACCTGTAAGCACTACTAATTGAGAATCTACCGTTAGCTTCATGTTTCCAAATCAATTTATCAATTCAGACCGCAATAAAAAGATGTGTATTTTGAATCTTTTGAGCGGTCTCTTCCCCTACAAGTAAAGAAATAAAAACTTGGTTCCAATGTTTACCGTTTGGACTCACCAAATTCGAGACTCTGAGATTACTCACTACCAAGTTATGTGGCCAAGAATTAATCAGTAGAGTACCATCAAGCAGCCAATTCTGATCCCAAACCAAAATATTCTCTCCCAACCCTATACTCCATTTTAGCTCACCCTTTACCACAAATTTGGAACTCCAGATACTACGACACACATTGTTAGGATTATGGCTAATATTATAATTAAGATAGTCGCAATTAGGAAAATACCTGACTTTGTAAAGATGGTACACAAGGGAATTGAGATTGGTCATAAACCTCTAAGCGTGCTTGCTTAACATCGCAAGGATGAAAGCACTGATATTTTTGAAACCCCTACCCCCGTTACTTTTTGGCATAGATAAACGATCCCATAAAAGTCAATGTATACGTTTAGCTCTATCTCTTTTATGACCCTACCAAAACGAATTCATCATCTTCTCAATCTCATCAATTCTCGATCCCAGGAAAGCCAATGTTACATTTTTTCCACATAAATTCTTTTCTTCTATCCACTACTACAAATAATATATTTTATGACAACACTTTCACCTCACTCAATAAAAAATTGAGATATAATTCTTGGACGCGCCATATTTAAAAAAAAAACATATTTTCTCTCTATTTAAGTAGAAAACCGAGATGGAAACTAATTCAGGTGACATGATTCGAATCCAAACAACTGCATTTTATGTTTTTATTTTTTTTAAAAGTGACGCATTTCTTTTTTATTTTGTTTAAAAATTAAATGATATATTTCTTCAGCATTAATAACTGAGAGGTTAGAAACCTAGATTTAACTAGAAAAATATTTGTTCATTAAGTTGTACCTTCAACCTAACTCATTTACAACCACTCCGTTCTATTAAACATCATTTCTTGAGATGGATTACAAGACAGAAAAAACTTTAATTTTTCAATTTTTCTTAATTAGTTAATAAATATTTCAAGGTTTTGTATTTGTTGTTCTTCTAACATCAACCTTGAACAAAATATTTTTCTGCTCTTGAAATCTATCTCACATAATAGTAAATATTCTACAATTTATTTCTTTCCTCAACTAACAACACTGAGAAATTTATTCATTTTACACTGAAAATATATTGCAAACAATATTGTTGTTTCACAAAACAAGATCTTGAAAATTTTGTTTTGAATATAATCCTTTGTTTGAATATTGCAACACACACGAAAATTAGTGAATGGTAAAAAATTGAAAAAAGAAAATAATACATGTTACTTTCAGTTTTGGACCATTCACCATTTTTTTTTTTTGCAATAGAAGTAATTTATTATCACAGGGAATTTAGAAATCAAGGGAAAAAGTCCTTATTATATTTTATTTTTTATTTAAAAAATAATCTTTTACCTCAATTTTACATAAGAACCCGGGGTGGAAAGTAACTTATTTTTTTCTATAACGAATTCATTCATAAAGTAACCATGCTCAAGATATTGACAACATATCATTCTATAAAAAACTATCTACATTCAATTATAACGCGAACACCACCAATATATATCTTGGATGTTATGTTGTGAAACTTAAACATTGATAATGAAAACATTTGTCATGAAAATAATAAAACTTAAATAAATTTAGAAATGGTCTCTAGGATGGATTGCAAGTGCAATTTTTTTTTAGTACAATATTGGTGTTCTTACACACACAAGCGCGCACAAACACGAGCACACACATATATGCATTCCCTCGGGTATTTTTTTAGAGTAAGACCATTTACAATGGTTGAAAAACTCAACACCCACTTTTTCAACTCCCAACACTCCACATCATTTTCTCTTTCTTCCACCTAATAACTCAACACCCATTCAACTTTTACCCTCTCCAATGGTTTTTCACTCAACACCCTACCCCACCACTTTTTATTTTCATATTCTTATTTAAATTTTATTTTTATTTTTATGATTACATAAAATTACAATTATCGATTAAAATTAAATTAAAATAATAAATACTTAATAATTTATTTTTTAATTTTTTGTAATAAAAACAAAATTTATTTAAATAATTGGATACGATACAAATCATCTTAAATTAATTTAAAATACAACACACAATTAACGTAATTAGTACGTTACAAATAATTTAAAATGCAATACAACACACAAGTAACGTAATTAAGATAGTGAAAAACTTAGTTTTTTTTTGTGTCCAAATCAAATGAACCAAGTCTCTATTTATAGAGAGAAAAAAATCATGAATTTTGGTAAAAAAAAATTAATTAATTAATTTGCAACGAAATAATTGAGTTCAAAGTATTAAATGGATAAAAATCTGGTCAGCCAACCAGCCGCTGCCACGTCAGCCCATGCGTTAGTGTACATGGTGTTGAGTTTTCTCAACATCTCTCTCCTCCAACACACACTCAACACTACTCTAAACACACCATTGCACATGATTTTGCCATGTTGAGTTCAATTAAACACACCATTGCACATGGTCTAACATGGATATTATGGAATAATATAGAATGTCAGGTATAAGTGGGGGTGGTAGGAAGATTTATAGTATATCCATCAATAAAATTGGGTCAGGCCCATATCCTATCAACAAAAACACTCCCCATATTATTTGACGGGAAAAAAAAAATTGAAATATTGCTGCGCCAGCCGCAGAAGAAACTATGTTTACTCTTTCTTCTCTGACCATTCCTTCAACATCTCTCAAGTTTCAGGTATGCTTTGTTTTTAACTCAAAACGCTGTCTATGCTTTCTTCATGGAATGTGTGTATCCTTCAATTGTCTATCTAAAGTTAAACCCTAAACTATATATCAGATTATGTTGTTAACTTGGTGTGTTAAAATTCATATTTTCTTTTTTTCTTTTGTAATTATGTTAATAACTATGATTAAAATACTGTCAAAATCTGTTTTGCTTCAATTAGAGCATTCTCATTTCATTCTTTTGTCCAGGTTCATCGGTTTCGGTGCTATCCCAGTCATTTGTGTAGAAGTTCAAAAACTTACCTTCCTCATCAAACTTTTTATACTCGCACCACTTCAATTAGAGCATCGGTGGCGGACAATAACGAGCCTAATGAAGTCAAGATGCAGATCGAGATCATGAAGATGAAATTTGTAGAAGTAATGCCAAGTCTGGTTCAAGAATTTCCTTGGAGAAAAGCTCAACATACACTTCTAGACAGACTACCTCTTTTTGTGCAAGAGGTGTTAAAGTGGTCAGTTATTGTGTATTTCATCGTTAGCTCCTTATCAGATGTTGTGTATACGTTCTCTATAAATCGGGAACTTATCATTCCTGTTGGTGTCTTTGTTGGCTGCCTTATGGCTGATTTCTTGAAGGAGATATCTCTGGAATTGTTTCATCAATTTGAGGTATATTTTGCACATGTTATTGTTCGATGGTTCCTTTGTTTTTTACACTCTTATTATATTTTTTCATGGGTTTCCACTTGACAGGAGATTGATTTGAAATGGCGTCGTTTGGGCTTGTTTGGTCTTTTTGCATTGGTCAAGTTTACGTTAACATCATTCTCAACACAACCAGACGTGTTTCTTTTGCATGTTGTAAATGGTGGACTGATGCAGCTACTTTGGTATTGGAGAAATTTTATGGAAGATGCAAAAGACTTACGAGAAATGAGGAACGCTTCTGGTTTGGAAGCATAAATGGAAAGCTAAGCTCTTAATTTTGTTGAGGCGAGCTGACATAAACTTCAATTTTTCAATCAGAAGGGTTCCTAAATGGAAAGCTAAGCTCTTAATTTTAGCAACTAGTTCATGTGAACAAGATGATTGAAAAATGTTAGTTGTTGCTAAATGGTAAGCTAAGCTCTTAATTTTCAATCATCTTGTTCACATGATCTAGTTGTATTTATTCCTTGCTTATTCAATTTAATGAAGCATATTCAATATAGCAAATTACAATAATCATTCATGTCACCACCATAAATGAGAATCCACTATGTTGTTTGTATGTTGCCACTCAAACAACTAGAAAACGATGATGTTATTGTTTGTGAGTCTGCCTTTAATTTATTTAAAATATTTCTATCCGATTGCAAGTTCTATGACTAATGTCATTTAATTCTAATTAGAGGGTGTGAAAATGTCTTCGTAGTATTGGTTACATATGAAAACAAATAACATTGAACATAATATAGAGCAATGATGTTTGAATCAAAAACTTTTTCACAATTAAGTGAGGAATTAGTGTGCAGAGTATTTTAACTCCTCAAGATGAAGTTAAAGTTTTTTATTCCCCCATTAAAAAAAAGTGAAATATGTTTGAGCTCCTTATAAATATATCATGGAATTCATTTTTAGTCTCATAAGTTTTTTTTCAAATTTTGATCTCACAATTTTTCATCCACAACTTTCATTCCTCCAATTAAAAATGAGTTAACGGCGACATACGTGGACACCCAAAAAAAACGTGGATTAGTGATTTTTTTTTATAAATTCCCATTATAAAAATATCCCTACTTTTTCATTTCATTTGTTTTATCTCCTTTGTGTTTCCTTCTTCGTTCTCTCAGCATGAATTTTCATGGCGTCGAGTATCAGGCGTAACAAGTTAGGATCATCACATCAAACAATTGAAAGTAATCGTTGTTCGGAAAGAAATTGTACTTGCAATGCTTGTATGATTTCATATCTTTGCAAACATGGACTTAACAAAAGAAAGTTTTTTGGAAATGTCCATTCTAACAAAGTAATACAACATGTAACTTATTTATATGGGATGAAAACCTAGCACAAGGAAAGGAGGTGGATGGATATGTTGACGAGGATTAGAGCAAAGAACAGAAGTACTTAAAGGAGATACAAAGAGTTGAAATTTTGAATGAAATGTACGAAACTTCAAATACAAATCAAGATTAAGTCAGAGACTTATCATGAAAAATTTAAGTATATCTGCATTTTTGATTATGCTCGATATGTTTTGGTGTTGAAGTATAAATGTTGATGAATGCTCAAGATATGTTTGTCTTTTATTAACATAGTTGTCAATCTGTTAGTTCAAGTAATGTTTTTTATGTTGGTAATGTAATACCATTCAAGTTGTTAATATAATGATTTTCAATTTGCTAATAGAATGTTATTATATCATATAAATGATTGAGTTTTGAATAACATTTAAATGAAGGACCTATAATGTTGCAATGACCAATAATTTTGTACCATATAACGTTAATGTCGCAATGACCTATTACATTCAATAACTGATCAAAGCACAATACACCAGTAAATAGAAAATTTTCTATGTATCAATATATGGATTGTTTTGATAAACATACAATCTAAAATTTGAAGTTCCAAACAAACGGTAACTCCTACCTGAATTTTTTGAAAGATTCCCCTCAATAGCCACTTTATCTTTCAATTTTAAATATTGTTGCAACTGCACAACATTTTTATTCTAGGAAAATTTTAATTACTTCAATTTATATGTCTATTTGTATCTAAATGGAGATTTTTTTTTGGGAAAAAATCTATCTACAATTTACATTTAAAAATATTTGATGGACAAAATGAATCAAGACACCATCATAATCCATCATTAATTAAATGTTCAAGCGCTGTATGGGGCACATTAGGAATATTCTTATTCAATGTACAAGCCGGATCGCTCGTTTGATCTCCACTAAGTACTGATCTATCTGAACTAGAACTCAAAGTGCGATGGACAGGCTCTGGTCTATGTTGTTGATCAACTGCTTTGCCTGAAAAATGAAAAGCAAAGGCTGAGTTTATAAATATTGAATCGTTTACCGTTATATTAAAGCAAACAAACCTTTCTCGATATCTTCTGAAATCTCAGAAGACTGCTTGTCGTCTTGTGGGCAGGTGGATTCGGATGGGCTTGGTGCTGGCGACACTAAAGAGGGTTGGATGTAGGCTGAACGCAATTGTTCATAAATTTCTTCCATCTTTCCACTATCTTCGTCTTTTCTATCCATGTCAACAAGAATCTAAAACAAACTGAGTTTAGTTTAAAGCAGGGAATGAAAGACCAGGGAATGGAGAAAGAGCGACGAGAAAGAGAGATTTACCTGTGCTGAATAGCTTTTAAATACTGGGAGAAATCGATGCCTACAATACTGATGAAAAAGAAGGGTGATAATGATCAAGGGAATGGTAAATCCAGACGCAACTGTGGAGCGTTTTATTCCGAACACTCCAAGTGCAATAAGTTGAGAAACTAACAAAGAAAACACCGTTGTGTTGTGAGCAATAGGCCAGTATAGTCCCTCACTATCATATTTTGTAATATACACATTCAGAATCTGAAAAAGGTTAATATAACTACAATTAGATTTAGGAAGTATTTAATCAATGGTAAATTAAGAAAATGCATTCGATAACTAGAAAGGAGAAGACAGACATGTGATAAAAAGACTAACCTGGTTTCGGTAAACTAGGTAAGCAAGGAAAAAGTAGATCAACAAGAAGGGAAGCATTAGAGGTGCCAGAATAGAACAGGTAAACCCAAGAAATCCAAATAGTAGTACCCTTGGAACTTCTGTATGATATGGAAAAGTTATACCAACAAGTGTATCATCCTTAACCCTGAGTAGGAATCTCTGGAATAGATTATATAAAAGAGGACAAATTTGCAGAAGTTCAAATCCCAAACTTGCCCAACCAGATGACAAAATATAAGTTGTGAAGAAGGTAGCCTGCATACCATGAAAAGGCCTAGTGAATAACGAATCACAGAAGAGCTTTTCCTATATTTTTTCTAAAAGTTAAAAAGAGTGTTCATTGTCAAGTGTTTGCTCATATCTAATAATACATTCAGCACACAAAATCATTTCAACAATATTCTAGAATAAAAATTATTTCAACAAGAAAATACAATAATACTCTAGAACATAAAAAAATAGGTTGAAATAAAGGTTGTGATTTAAAGTACACAGTGTCTCCTAGGAGTCTCGATAAATCACCTGAGATGGCACTGCCTTCGCAAGTTGTCCAGGCAAGTCTTTTATGCTAGAAAAGACTGAAAGTTGACTGATAACAGAACCAGTGAAAACATTAACGAAAAACACATTCCAGATTGTGAAGTACAAAACTTTCCAACATGCACTTTTCTTCCTTCTACTGCGGGAAATAGGACCCTCAACTGTTGAAAATAAAATCATCATAGGTGGAACTGCGCACAAAAATAAAACCAATATCACACTTGGTAGGTAACCCGTCACCAGCTGAATCATATAATTCCTGCAAATAAAGAGTGAAAGAATCAATTTACAGTGAACCTTTATAGCAATTCATAACTTAAAAATACGTAACTAAAACTCCATGTTCCATGTCTGCGGTAAATTACACTTTTATCCTTTGAGAAATGCTTAAATTACACCATCCTCTAATCTAAAATTGAAAATTATAATTTCCTCCCCTGATATAGATGAATATGCTTCTTCCTTAGTTCTATCTTAATGGAATCTTAAAAACATTATTTCTGCATAAATGTCTTACTTTTTAGGTAGCCCTGCCAGAAAAGGGAACATTTTCTGAAGCTTCTCTAGTTGAGTCAAGCCTTGTACTAGTGTAACAGGGATGAGGAACACAAGCATGAATGCAATCGAAGCCGCAAATGTAGCCATTCTGCGGATCCAAATTTGCCTATATTGTACACGAATATTGGACCAGTGAACATCGTGTGGTTCAGGAGCTAAGTCTGTCACCCATAACATAGGATTTGATGTTTGCAGAGTTTGTGAAGCCATAAGAGCAGCATACCGACTTTTAAAGAACACAAAAGCAGATGGGAGTTCCTGTATCAGAGATCCATATTTAAGGTGTAAATTATTGAACATAAAAAAAATGTTAAACACATAATCTGAAATTATTTAGATACTTCATATAACTACTAGATGACAACAAGGATTATAATAACCTGCTTTCATTAAATAATAAATAATGTTAGTTCAACATAAAATTAGTAATGGCTTCTGTCAAGAATAAATATATGGCCAGTGCAAAACATATTATCCAACAACGACTGGACTGGTTCATATACATGGCTAATACACAAGAAAGAGACATTAAACATAAATATAAGACTTTCCAAGTGAGGACCGAAAGTTGGACAATGAAGAGCCAACAAGAATGCAAGCTCGGTAGTGCAAAGATAAAAATGCAATAATGGATAAGTGGTTAGACAAAACAAAGATAGGGCTAGTAACCCTTAGTAATGAAACCGTTAGGAAAAGAGTAGGGATACTTTCCTTTGTAGAAAATATGGTACTCCCTTTTTAGGTGGTTTTTTGGTATTGGGAGACAGCCCGCAAAACCACTGAAATGGAAGGTAGAAATGAAGTATAGCACAGTAGTGAGATAGAGGAAGACCAAAGAACGCTACCTATGAAGCACGGATACCGGAAACACGACACCGACACGACAGGTTGACACCGGTAATAATTTGAAAAAAATGAATAAATTAAACGTAATCACAAGTGTCGGTGTTGGTTTCAGACACCGACACTGACACAAACACATCTTTTTTTTCAGAGGTGCCTGTGCTATAGAGAATACTACAGGTCAAATCATTACGAGAGATTTGACGGACTATCTTAGATATGATTTATGACAAGATATTATGGCATATTTTGATCAATATAGTCAACCTTAACCAAGGGTAAAAGGCTTTTGATGGGGGT